CAACCACCATTCATCTTAGTAACCGCTAGTCGTCGCCCATCCCCGTCACCGCCGCCGACCACTTTATTTTTATTTTGAGTGTTAGTTTGTATTGTGAGTGAAGGAGGATAATTCAAAGGAACTTCAAGACAATTGGTGGAGAGGATTTGAGATAAGTGTTTATCTTTGCTACTACATTTGGTTTTAATTTAAATTTCTTGTTTGTGTGCATGGTTTCTACTTTCAAACACATGTATGGTTGTGTTTTCTCCATGGATTTTGATTAGTTTTCTTTATCTTTTTCCTTAAAATGAAAACTGATTTTCCTTAAAAAAATAAGTTATTAAGTATTAAAAGGAAGTTTTGTGAAGTATTAGACTTCAATGTTGGAAGAAGTTGTGATGATTTGAAACATTGACTTCATTTAATTCTTGATTTGACCAATTATGAAGTTAATACCTATTGTGATAACATGTAAGATCCGAGATGGTATTGTCTTAGTCAACAAATGGTTAGAATCACATATTAATTTCATGAATGAGAATGTAGTTCATGGGGTTGAGTGCAAATAAATAGGGAAACAAACTTTTTAAGGGTGTAGAATTAGAGGACTTTAGAGTGACATACTAAAGCCCCCAATTTGATTTATAGTTTTAGGTTTTTATACGAGATGTTAGCCCCCAGGTGGAGAGAGAAGAAGGATATCTAAAGTGAGAGCTAGTATCTTCCCTACGTAACCGGTCTTCAAAACTATACAAACTATATATTAGTCAATGCTCTTTATAACATTTCTAGAAAGGGTAAAAAATATTATTACTCTTATTTAGCACAAAAAATTTAACATACTTTCACAATAGAATTTCTATACATATTACTAAATCATGATAAGTAAAAATATATTTTACTTATATAGCCTTCATCTTACAAATATTTAGTTAAGTTAATTAGTTGCTTACTTTGTTTTCATAAATCAAAAATTACAAAAAGAATCAAATTTTCATTCCTATTATAGCATCTTAAGTTTTAAGTAAGAATATTTTGCTAAGAGTAAGAATATTTTGCTAAGTAGATTTGCTAAGTAGATTTTTGTCATCTAAACTTTCTAATTTTTTTAAAGTGCTTATTGCGATCTTCCTTGTGGGTTCGATATTCGAGGCTTAATCAAAAAGTTGTATATTACTTGATAACGATACATATAGTTGCGTATTATCCCATATTTAAATATTATAACTATTTTCTTATTTGTTTCATAGTGGAGAACTTAACTAGCTTTTGCTTTAGATCAAGTTTTTGATTTTGTTGCAAATTAAGAATAACTATTAAGAAAATTAAGCATATAATCATATACATCGCAATAAACATATATATAGAAAGTCAGGATCACCCCTCATGTCCCAAAAATTCCTAAAACCTCCAAAATCATTCCAAACCTCCCTTATACCAATCCTAGCCACTCAGTGGGCCCAATTTCACCTAAATCCACCATAATTTACCAAAATTCCTAAATTGCCCCTAAATGCCTAAAATCTTCAATTCACCCTCGATTTCCACCAACTTGATTTCAAACTTCCCCAATTCCAACTCCAAATTAAATTTCATCATGTCCTAGCCTAATTAAAACTAAATCCCAAACCAGTTGAACCCAATTCTAAACTTTAATTTTAACCTCAAACCCATTAATCCCAAATTGACCTAAAATAAAAAAATTCACCAAATTGAGCTCCATGACCAATTCAATTTCCCCAATTTTAAATCCTAAATTTCTCATGACAATTTTCTAAACCAATTTAAGCCTTCACATGACCCAAATCCAAACCCAAACCTAACCTAAACCCAAGCCCAAGTCAAATACCCCAAAATTGCCCTAACTTTAAATTCCATTAAATTGAACCATGCGACCAATTCAATTTCACCCAATTCTCTTCCTAAACTCTTAATTAACATCATCTAGACCAATTGGACCCTTCAATTAGTTTTAAAACCTAGCCCAAGCCAAGACCAAAATCCAATTTTTACCCCAAACCTTAACTGTGAACTTAAAATCCAAATTAACCTAAACCTTTCGAATTTGCCTATGCTTAATCTTCTCCAACCTTGGTTAGCCTCCTAGGATGCTAATTAAATCAACCAAGATCCAAATTTTGAGCCATGGACCAAGGATATCTTAAATCATGCAAGTTATCTCTTAAAGTTGGCTAAGCTCTCTATCCCATGTCATCAACCCTCAAGCCCCATTATAATCACAATTAAGACTTCCATTAAACCTTCTGACCTTGCTAGCCACCTCCTATGGCCTGGCCGACCGGCCTAGTCGCCAGAAAACTCAAAATCAAGAAGCCCTCCCTTGGCTCAAACCCAAAATTCTACCCATCTAATGTGGTTCACTCCCTTTGGCGAATTGCACCGCTTAACCCTCCACCTAAGCAATCTTTTCTACCCCTTGGCTTGCTCTATTCGCCATCATGGCCATGGCTATTTAAACACCACCTCTCATGGACAAAGAGATAGCGCTACCAATTCCTTGTGGAGACCCCTCCAAACTGCTTTCAGGGTTTCGTCAGACCTTTCTAAGCTCATCTTAATCAAATTCCAGCCATTTCCCCCACTGTAAACCCTAATTTCAAGCTTCAAATCCAGGGCTTTTTCTGTCACTCCACCAAACTCCACAAACCTTGAAATTGATTGTTCCAAAAGCTTCGTTAGACAAAATGAGGAAGTTCCCATCAAAACCCCTCTCTGTCGAGAACTCTAACCCACTCCTAGAGCAAGCCCGTGCCATTAGTTGATCAAACTCCTAGCCAAACCCAATTTCTGCTCAAAGCAGCACTTGAAGGACTATAGTGGACTCAAGGTGAAGCTCAACAAAAAAACCCAATCGAAGCCTCACCTCTTGGGCAAATGTATAAGCTAAAATCTCTAAAATCTTGCTCGGTTTCACCAATTGTGAAGAGAAGTTTCATTTCACATGCTTGTAACTATATGAATATGTTTGTCTTGACTAGATGAAGCTATAAAAATAAACTGTGAGTGATTTGGTTGAGTATCGAGTGAGATCAAAGTGTTTTACTGTGGATGGCTCTCTGGTACGAGCAGATGAGGACGAAGAGCGGATGTCGTCCATTCGGGCGTGTATCCATCATACGACGAAGGAATGGAGAGTGAATCGTGGGCCATGTGGCAAGCTGGGATGTAAAGCACCTCTAATCAAGAGCCACCACATGTGCTTTCAGAGTTGCCGAGGATGAGCTGGCTGCCGTGTGGATAATTAAAAAATGAGGGCATTTTTTATTTAAATAAATTCAAAAACTTTAAATTATTATAACTTGGTATAGAAAAATTATAAAAATAAAATAGAAATTCCCTGATGCTCAGTGAACAGAGGAGAATCAAGTGAACAAAAAATAAAAATTATCTAACTTATATTTATTTTTAAATTAATTTAATATTATAAAACTTATTTAAATCATAACTAATTAAATTTTAATCACCATGATTTGAAATTTGGAGAGTTTATTCTTCATTTGATTAGGAGAGTTTCCTAATTTTTATAAAATTAGAGAACACTCGTAACCCTAAAAGCCCTAATTTTCAAGGCAAGTCACCTATTTTTTATTAAAATAATTTTTTAAATTAAAATATAAATAAAAAAAAATATGGGACTTGCTTTGGTAGGTTCACTGTGGTTAGAGAACCTTAGGAAAAATATAAAATGAGTTTAAATAATTAAGTGCATTATTTTATGTAATTAAGTCACTAAAATTCATAAAAAATGAAGTAAATAGAATATAATCCAAAAAATCACAAAATTTGATCCAAAATGAAGATAATGAACATATTAAGCCTCTATAAAAATGTGTAACCCATTTAAAATGTATTTCATATCAAAATCTATTTTTCAAATTAAATGGGATTTTTGTACTAAAATAATTGTAATAAATAAAATATAATCAATAAAATTATGAAAATTAGTTTGGAGTGTTCCTTATGACTAGGGGTTCTCAAGAAAAATAAAATTGATGTTAAAATAAATAGTTTATTTTCGAGCTAATTTCTAAATTTAAAAATAAATAAAAATAGTAAAAATCCTAAAAATATAAAAGTGAACCAAAATGTCATAAATTATTCCCTAATCACTTGAACGACTTAAAATATTTCCTTAATTTTTTTAATAAAGTTATATATTTTCTTAAATGTCAAAAATGTGTTTTCCTTAATTTTGCATTAAAATAATTACAATTAATAAAATAAAAATAAAAAAATGCATTTGCAAAAAATGTGTTTCCCTAATAATTACAGCTTTCCCTTTTTGACAAAACTGTGTTTTGCTTGCGTTTTGAACATATTGCATCTGAAAGCTGCACTTTCCTATCAGACTTGGCAATCTGTTGTAGTAGCTAGAAAGATGTGATCTGACTTTTTCAAAAAATAACTTTTTTATAATAGTCATCGCAACTTTTTGAACAACAACTTTTTCTTTAACAGTTTCATCAGCTGCAGCTGCCCCAAAAAGACTGGACTATAAAATTCTCACTCCCAAGTGTCTCCTTAGTGAAGTTTATCAACTCTCTAATATATTTAGTGCTTAAGGCTCAAAATTTGCTACATTTTTTGTTCGGAAAAAAAAAAAATCAACTCCTGACTGCACGTAAATTGAGAGATTGATATTCATTTATTCAAATATTTGTGCAAGTTTCAAATTATTTTTGTTTCCATTGCTACCCTAATTTTTTGCCACACTGATTTCTAAATGTGACCGTGCACATTAGGCCCCTTTTTTTTTCCGATCCATTTCAAAACGAATCGACCGAGCTGTGGAGCATGCACAAGTCTTGCTTCTGACCTCGACATACTTTCACGAATTAAAAAAAAAGGAATAATTAAAAAAATGAATTTCAAGAGCGGACAAAAACACATTTTAGAAGGATAAATAAATAAATAAATAAAAAAAATCCAGTGTTCCTCTCTATTTTCATTTCAATATGTTCTAAAATAAAATAAAAATTTTCCTCAATTACCTCAGCTTCACTGCTCTGTCACGTTTCTGCGGTTTGAGGAGTTGGCCGAGCTGTGGTTTTCCTTCGTTTTCAGGATCTCAATGTCCCTCCGTCCCCCTTAAGCTCTCTTTCCTCAGGGAACATCCAATAAATTGAAGAAGAATTTCTGGAAAGAAGAGAAGGAGAACGAAGCTACTGCTTCGATTCGGATATCTGCTCACTTTTCTCGGCGGCAAGCTCGATCCAGACCTAAAGTTCTTTCGTGTTATCCCATTTCCAAAATTTTCTCCACATTTGAAGTTTTTTGGATGAAACGTACAAGGCTTTACGGGAGGGGGGTAGGGGAATGCTATGTTTGAAGCAACCAAGGGGAAGTCTAGGAATCCGGCGGTATAGGTAGGCTTGATCCGGCGGGATCCGTATGCTCAAGTGAGGAGGCCCGAGCTTGGAGCTCGGGAGCGGTCTTGCGAGTTATGGAGGCGGCGGATGTCGCGCCGGTGGCTGATAGGATAGCCAGTGAGCCGGCCGCAGGCAGGTGTTGCCTGCAGAAGTTCAGTCTCTATGAGACCAAATCGGTGGGGTTGCTAGCTCCTGATTTTGCTACTCCGTGCTGTCTTACCATTCTTTCTTTTGTACTCTTCCTTCGTTTCCGTTCATGTTCTGTTCTGCTTTACGTTGGAATGCTAATATTCGTTCATTTTCTTTTCCGCAATTTCTTTTGTTTAATCATTCCTTTCAAACATTTTGAATCGAAATTGTTTTGCGCGATCCGTGAAATTTTGCCGAAATTGATTTTTTTTATCCTTTTTCTGCAACTTCTTGAACGTCGAGGATTTCTTTTTGCAGTATTGGTCATTTTATTTATTTGGTTATTTGTGGTAAGGGGGTTGTTCTGGGTCTGCTAGATGTGTTAAGTGAAGAAATTGAATGTTTTGGCGGGACTAGGAAATTGATTTTCTGAACATTTTTTCGTTTCGGTCTAATTGACGATATCTTTGGCATTCTCTGTTCTCATATTCCTCTATGTTGTTGTCAATCAGTAGTAGCTAATATGGAAAATTCTCTAAAAGGCATAATAGTTAATGCTACAGTGGTTAGCATAAATCTTAATTTTATATAAACGCACACATATGCCACTTGTGGTTATATCATCGACAATGCCTGCTTGATACTATCACAGAATTTCTATATGATCGGAAGGGACAAGACTAGAATGTCATGGAGAGTGTTAAAAGTTGACCGACTGGAACCTTTTGAGCTTAATATCTCTGAGGACTCCACCACCTACTCTGAGAGCGAATGTAATGATCTATTGAAGCGCATTCATGAAGGAAACTTGCCTACTGGAGGGTTAAAATTTGTTACCAAATGTTATGGGATTGTTGGTACGACACGTGTTTTTATTTTCTATTTAACCTGATTATAGTTTTATGGCATTTAGCTCGTTAATTAGGGTTACATTGACACTTTTTTGTTCAGGTTTTATTCAGTTCTTGGGGCCCTATTACATGCTGCTTATTACTGGAAGAAGGCTAATTGGTGCAATATGCAGTCATGAAGTTTATGCTGTCACTAAGAGTGCAATAATAACCGTTCCAAATTCCAGTGTTTGGTCCTCTATGGCTGTTCCAAAGGCTGAAAACAGGTCTTCAACTTTATTTTTCATGCAACCATGTGAATCACATACCATGTGCATGCTGATGACATCAAATTTTATTCCTTCCGTTTTCTCTTTGAAATAAAAGTAAAAGATGTTTTATTGTCTAGAAAAATTGTCTTCATATTGTTTTTCTTCCCTCTAATCCTTGTTTTGAATCGCTAGGAATGTTTTGTTGGCATTTTCCTTTTATTTGGAATACATCCCTGCAAAAAGAAAAGGAAAAAAAAAGTTGATTGTTCTAAATTGTGATGTTATGCAGCTTTAATGCTACACTGTTTGGTATGAATGTTATTCTCATATGGATGGCGAAACTGCTTTCTAAACGTGCCAATTGTTTTGAATGCATGAGCAAGGTGAAATCCAGCATAGTGCTTGCCGTCGCGTGGTTATTGTATAGATCAAAAGCTTGATTCATCTAGGTCTTGAAAAACAAAGCTAAGAATCAACACTAAACTAGGCTTTTCTATATACTGTGTAAAATTAATATTGTGGCACACACAAAAAATTACTTATGTTCATTTAACATAACTTAAAAATTAAATGGTTGTACTATTTTATTATGTTAGTTAAATATGCTAGGCCTAGAAAGACTTGGCTATATTGTTAAGAAATGGTCTTAGTTTATTAGAATTAAATGAAAATATGACATTCAATAGGACGCAGTGGAGAAAAAGGGTTCATGTAGCCGACCCCATTAATGGGATAAAGGGTTGTTGTTGTAAATATGCTAGACCTTGTTGTTGAAGGGGCATTATATATCAAGAAGGGTCAACAGGATTACTTGATAAGGAAAATTAGATGTCACAAATTTATTACTTTTAATGAAATACATCTCCATGGACTCATTTATAGAAAAAGAAACAAAGAGTCATGGATTGCTCTCTTGGCATCAATTGATAATCCCTAAATAGATCAAATTATGAGATAACTCAAGTGGTTTTTTTAGTTTATTGTTGTATTTATTTTGTTTTGTATATAATTAATCATTGAAAGAATGAACAATCCAAGCTTTTTTGTTTACTTTTTTTTTGTTTAAGGTATCACAATGAGGTTAGGGTTCTATATTCATCTTATATTCCTCTATTCATTATCTCTAGTTTCTTTGATTTAATCTCCAAGTAGTTAACCATCATGAATGGTGAAAACCAGACTAAAGGAGAGCTCCAGGGGCTATATATCCCATATTAATTGCATGGAAGAAAATACCTGAAATTGTCTCAAATTGTGAAAACCGAAGAACAAAATCCACCATGTTATGAATTCTTCAGAGTTAAAAGGTCTAAACTTTGCATTTTGAAATGAAGCAGATTCATGATCATTATTTGATTTCCTAATACCATAATGCCTGATATTTATGGGCCATATATATTACTCATAATCACAAAAGATGTTTAGGATGCTATCAAATGAATACACTCAAAAATCCAATGATACTGCTCTCATCCATTAAATCAAAACTACCATCTCCAATTGAAGTTTCTCACTCATATGTTGAAGATGAAAGAAGGAAGGTAATGCTAGATAATGTTATCCAGAAAATCAACAATGACAACCATCAAACATCAAGAGAAAAGATCAGGGCTTTAATTTTTTCACAAAAAAAGGGTGAAAAACTTGTCTCAGAGGTAAATTATGGTGCAATTATTTCATGAAAAAGGGGAGAGAAAAAAATGCTGGGAACTTATGAAAAGCCTCAAAACTATGATGAAAATAAATGTCACTCAAAAGGATAAGCTTTTCTTGTGGAATCAAAAGGGCTCAATTTAGAAGAAATCATTACTCTGAAAATATCTGAACTTATTCGAAAAAATTGTCTGGTCATGCTCTCATGCTTAAAATGGTACAAATTCTAATTCTTTTGTTTTTAATGTCTAATAGTTCTCTTCAAGGCTAGATCTAAGATTTAGGAACTATTGAACTAATGACAAATATTGCCAACCTTTTTCAAATCTATAAGTCCTATCTCAATAATAGAAAAATTAAAGTTGTTTATGATTTTCTAGCAACAATGGCAAGTTAAAGGATATTATTTTCTTTTATACTTACCCTTAATAATGTTCTACTTGTCTCTCACTTTGTAGTAAATTTTCTATCATTTCATAAAATCACTAAACAATATAAATGCAAAGAACTTTTCATGCTTTCATGCTCAAAATGGTACAAATTCTAATTCTTTTAATTTTGGTGTCTAAATAGTTATACTGGAACCTATAACCAAGATTTAGGAGCTACCAAACTATGACAAATATTGCTCCCTTTTTCAAATCTTTAAATCCGGTCGTAGTAATAAAAAAGATAAAGTAGCTGATGCTTTTCTAAAAACTTTGGCAGGTTAAGAGTATGTTATTTTTCTTCCATATTTACCTTCAATATTGTTCTACATGTCTGTCATCCTGTAGTAAGTTTTCTATCAATTCATAAAATTACTGAATAGTATAACTGCAATTTTAGTTACTAATCATTATATATTCCATGATCTTACTATAAGAATGACGCTTGGGTAAGCCAAACACATTGTTGGGACATAATTCTAGAAATCTTAGAAGGTGTTTCAGGATCTAGATTTGGTGGGGAGGTGTTGTAAAATGGCAAGAAGTAGATAATATGTGAAATCCACATAGTTTGAAATTGGGTTGAAGATGTTTGATAGCTATCCGATTTCAAAATAGAGGGTCAAATAGCGAAACAATGAGATAAGGATGATGGGAAGGATCCATCGCTTGTTCTCTTTAAGTTACAAATTCACCGCTTAAAGAAAAAATATACTATAACTCTCAGAATCGAAGAAAAAAAGTGAAAAATCTTCAAAAAAACATAAATAAAAAATAAAGAACCTCAAAATTAACTTTTAAATGACATACTTATACTAAGACATAAATTAAAACCCTAATTCTAATTGAAATAATATTATAAAAAGGCATACAAGGACTGACAACAGCAAACAAGCGTGAAAATTCCGCTTTAGGGATTTCACCGAATGGAAATCCTATCTTGTTTGATTCTAACATGGGCGGGAGTTTGTGGGATCTCACACTTGCATCACTCTCTAGGTAGGAGGCTTAAATTTTTAATCTTGGAAATATTCAGATCCTCGTAATATGGCAACAATACAATAACAATATTAAATGTAACAAAAGTATTAAAGTCTCATGGCAAATCAAATTTTTATGTATTATCGTTAATCTTGTTAAAATTTTAGAATGGGCTGTTCGTTTTATGCTTTAATTTCTAAATGAAGTTGCAACAAATTCCTCTTACTTTAATTTGATCTGCACCGTATTACCATTCTTGAAGACCATGACCTTCTTAGATTTTTTTAGCATGCTTCTGCTACTTGATGTTTTGTTTTAAAATTTCTTTCCTCCCATATATGCCATCACCTTAGCCATCTTCAGTAATTTTTGCGTTAAATAAAGTTTTCATCTTGGATGAGCTACAATGTTATATTTCTTACATCAACTCGAAGCTTGTCTGTTCCGTAAGAACTAAGCCAACAATCATTGTAGCTTTATGGTTTGATCGCAATCACCATGTTAGTTTGTCGAACTACCATCTCCCAAATGTAGTTGCTTGAACGGCATCGCTCATCTATGATTGTCTAACCACTAATCCACCATCGCTTGAGTGTGATCGACTATCACCATGTTAGTTTGCCGAACTACCATCTCCCAAATGTAGTTGCTTGAACGACATCGCTCATCTATAATTGTCTAACCACTAATCCACCATCGCTTGAGTGTGATCGACCATCGCCAACCTCCGAAGACCTTATGGTTGTTTGCAATTGCCCAGCCATCAACATCCAATTAGGATCGCTTGATCACCATATTGGTAAATTAATTCTTCTAGTGTAGAAAGTTGTTCATCTGCTAGCGTTGCACTTAACAATGCTTTGAAAACCGCAACACAAATTTTTCTAGGTTAGATGTTTTGTAGGTGTCCTAATTTCATAGCTCCATCTAGGATCAATGGCATTAACTGCATCATCATGACATCGTACTTCTTTAAGAATATTTATCTAGATAATGACTCTAGAAGCTTCTTTCTATATGCAACAACATATCTATGCGTGGGAAGTTTGCACTAATATTCTAGGGAAGTTTCATTCTTAAGCAGCTCAATATTATTATCTTTGTACCGTCAATTAAGTATCACCAATATTTATGGGTACAAATGTGTGCTTCACTAAATAAGATAACAAGAAAGCTACTATAGATTTTTTTTCATCTTGTGCCATATGGTGATCGTGCTCTTCCCTTCCCACTATTGCAAGTGCTTCAAATTGTCCCACTGTAATAACTTAAAAAAATAATAGTAAATAAATAACAATAATGAGAATAAAACTTATAATTAAACGGGGCCTGGTTTCCACAGGATCGAAGTGGTAATTGTTGGAACGGAAACTTGTTATTCTCGTTCGAATTGAAGAAGGGATTGAATAGAGGAGAGAGCAAAAAGATAGAAGAAGAAGTACATGAAGGACTAATTTGCTAGTTCAAGCTACGTGGTCGGATGCCAAACTTGGAGACGATGCTGAGAGAGCTTCGCTTGCGCAGAGGGAGAAGCCGCATGTGTACCTGCACTATAGATAAGCTCGTCCTCAGTGCGCCTTGGCCTAACGAGAAAGTGTCTCACGAGAAGGAGGAATCAGAGGTGTCTCGCGTGGGGGTAGCATTGTACGACCTTGTTCAAGGGACACATATTCGAGTCATGTGTGAAGGATAAGAGCAAGGAGGAAGGCTCTGTGTGCGGCTTTGTTTGCGGGAGTCTTGAACAACAGACTCTAATTGAGCATTTGAGGGTTAGCATAGTAAGTCGAGTTTTCAATTTTACTTATATAAATTATTTTATGAAATTAATTAAATGTTATTAAGTTTTATTAAATTTTAGTAGCTAATGCCAGTGATATTAATTGGATAAACAACTGTGAAAGATTGAGATTGGTGTTTTGAAATAAAAAAAGTGATTAATTGAAGGTTAGATTT